GCTACCAGAGCTCCTTCATTCAGCTCAGTAATAGGTGCAGGTAATTCGAGCTCATCCTAAGGGCCTCTGTAAACCACCTGAAAATCTCAGACTGGACCCTGCGGGCCATTGGGAGCCATCGAAGACTTCTGAGGAGGGCTGACATGACAGAAGCCTGGACTGGAAAGCTGTCTCTGGCTGCCATGTTGGGTCTTCCTAGGGAATGACAACACTGAACTGCTGGAGGTCCGTCCAGACCCTCACGTGGCTGAGTGCTGTTGCCAAGGACAGGAAGCAGGAGAGAAGGTGCTGGGCTCTGCTGGCAGCCCTCTCAGCCAGTACCTGTGGGTGCTGTTTTTCGGAAGTATGAACGTCAGTTCTCCGAAGCTGGCCTCCAAGATGGCGCTGGGAATGTGTTGGTAAACCAGATGGGTGACCTTCTCTGTATCACAGTGAGGCATCCTCACTAGAGTCATGTAGTATCCGGCACCTGGAACACCAGGGAAAGACCATGAGACAGCTCTGCTCACAGTGCTTCTCCTCAGCTTCCTGGAGTGTAAGCAGAGCCCCGAGGAGCACATTTAACCCACAAAGATCTCGGGAGAGTTGGGCCTGCTGCTTCATAATTGAAAGTGGGGAAAGTGAATTGATGGCACCTTGGTGACTCAATGGTTAAGTGCTTGGCTGCTAATCAAAAAGTCAGCTGTTCAAATCCACTAGCTGCTCTCTGTGGGAAAAGCTATGGCAGCCCAAAGATGTCAATCTAAGAAGCCCTCGGGGTCAGTTCTACTGTGTCCTCCAAGGCTGCAATCAGTGGAGATGGACCTCATGGAAACTCAAGGGGTAAACTGAAGGTGGGCTTCAGGAGGGATCCCCCTTTCTTCTGAGGGTGACTGCTGTGTGGAGTGAGGCCAAGATATCTCTACACCCACCCCACTGTGTTGTGGAGGAGACACACTTTAGGGCAAGGAGCCCTGATGGTGCTGTGGGTTAAGCACTGGGCTCTTAACCACAAGGTCATCAGTTCAAGCCCACCAGCTGTCCCCACCTCACATTGGTGTGGCTCCCGACTGGTTGTGCTGCTTTGGTGCCTGGTTTCAGGTGGGCTCAGCTCCAGACCTACAAACCCTGCAGAGCCACCAGACCAGCATTGGACCAGTCACCCTGCCCCAGCTTCCTTGTGATCCTACTAGACCCTGAAACCAGCTCCATCGGTGGCCCCCATGAATTCCTTCTGGATTGAGTGCCCTGAACACAGAGAACACCGAGGCTGAGAGGAACTCAAGGTAGGACCAGGAACACTGCTGTCACATCCCTCCCACACCCACCTCATGAGACGCCGGGAGGATTGCAACAGCTGAAGTGAATAGAGAGGTAAATGCCGCTACCTGTTGGCATATGGAGGGGAAGGCAGGCAAGTAATGAACCAAAGTGTATGATCTGTTGGATGTAAAACTGATTATCTACTCTATAAATCTTCATTCAATTCACAATACAGAGTTTGAAAACAAAACAAAAAAAGACACATTGATACTTATTGGTGATTGGAATGTGAAAGTTGAAAACAAAGAAGGATTTGTTTACACCCTTGGTGATAAAACCAATGCTGGAGATAGCATGATTGCATGAACAACTGGCTGCCAATTGGAAATACCTTAGCAATGACATAAATGGTAAGTATATACATGAACCTTCCAGATGGAATACACAGGAATCAAATTGACTATATTTATGGAAAGAGGCAATAGAAAAGTTCAATATCCTAAGTCAGAACTGCAGAATAGCCCATCAACTTCTCATATGCAAGTTTCCGTGGAAACATAAGAAAATTGAAACATGTCCATGAAAGTCAAAGTGTAATCTTGAGCATATCCCACATGAATTTGGAGACCATCTCAAGAACAGATCTGACACACTGAACATTAATGACCAGAGACCAGACAAGTTGTGAGATAACATCCAGGACACCATACATGAAGGGAGAAAAGAGGCCTTAAAAAGCCAGTAGAGAAAAGACCCAAATGCATGTCACAATAAACTCTGAAACTTGTTCCTGAATATCGACTAGCTAAAACTGGTTTAGAGGGACTCTTGGACCCAGAGCCAGTGACATAGCTACTGAGGACTAGAGTGGAGAGTGAAGCGTCCAGCTGATAAGAAGAGAGGGCACATGCATAAGTACACCCACGCTTGTAGATAATACCCACTTGACCTGGCTACAACAGCTGAATGGTCAGAGCTCAAACAGAAGAAGAGAGAAGACGGAAAACAAGAGGAATCTGACACAATTTGATGAACTTGACCTACACCTATGGAAATAATAGCTCAAAAGAGGGAACAAATCTTCACAGCGAGGATCATTTCCACCTCTACCGCACACGGAGTGGACAGGGATGGGCAAGTTGGACATTGGCTACCCAGAATGGGGGGGGGGGCTACAGAGGCAAGAAGTGACTGGTTTACAAGCTTTCAAGAGGGAACCTAGATTCAGAGGGCATGGAGCAAGGTGGAATCTCCACTGAATGGTATCCATTCTGCCTAGTCAGGGCTGATAAAAGGAGATGTGGATAGGTCCCTTGAGATACAATAGCAAATAATTATTATCAGGATTGATTATAAGGGCTGAAAATGTAAAGGTGGGCATTTTGCGGAAAGTGGGGGTAAGTGATTAACCTTACAGTCTAGGAACAGAGGTCCCTGGGACCATCAAAGGAGAAGAGCAGAGCACGGAACCCTACCCAGAGAAGCAGTGATGCCAGGGGGTTGGGGGCGGGGCCATTTTTTTGGGGGGTTGGGTTGCTTGGGGCTTTTGGCCTTGGGAGGGGGGGGGGGTTTTTTTTGGCGGCCGGGGGGGCAGGCTTGCAGGGTTTACCCTTTGGTTGATGGATAATACATGGAAGGGATTGTAACCATGGTAACGAAATGATATATGATGGGATCAATGTACAACTGATGTCCTCTCATGTAAACTATCACATAATTCACAATAAAGCATTAAAAATAAATTAATTAATTTAAAAAAAGAAAGAACTGGTTTAGAGAGAGCGACATCCTCTCTCTTAGAGGAACTTGGCATCTTTTTCTAAGACTGGGTAAGCTAACTTGCCCCCCAGCTCTCGTCCCTGGCTGCCAAGCTGGCCGAGTGGGAACTTAGACATAGGACCCAGCCCCTGAGATCCTTTCCCTTCATTCCTTTACCCTTTTCACAAACCCCTCCCTAGGTCCCTGCTCTCCTCGCCGGCATGCTCACCGTATTTCTGCTTGAGGAAGAGTGAGGACCCACAGCACTGCAGCTCCCCCTTGGCCATGATGGCAATGCGGTCCCCTAGCAGGTCAGCCTCGTCCATGAAATGGGTGGTCAGCAGGATGGTGCGGTCATTCTTCTGCTGCTGGAGCACATCCCAGATGGCCCTCCGGGAGATGGCGTCCATGCCCGAAGTGGGCTCGTCCAGCATTAGCACCTGAGCACAGTCACACAAGGTGGCCCGAGTTCAATCCCACAAGAGGGGCTCGGGACCACCCCACGCCAGGCTTCCTTTCTGCCCTCCTTTGTACCTTGGAGCCTGCGATCAGAGCAATGCCGATGGACAGCTTGCGCCTCATGCCCCCGCTGAGGAACTTGCTTAGGGAGGACTGTTTCTCCTCCAGGTCCAGGATGCGTAACATCTGCCTGACTTCCTCCCAGCACTTCTGTAGTGACAGGCCTTTCAGCTGCAACAGCGGGCCACAGGGAGGTCAGAGGCTCTGGTGAGAGGCCGGTCCCTCAAACAAGTACAAAATAGACACAGAGGGCTGCACAAGACGCTGACAACCTTCAGAGCAAGGGAGCCACAAGAAGGCTTTGTGTTTTGAACCAGGTAATCATGGGACTGAGGAGCCCTGGTGGCACAATGGGTTAAGTGCCGGACTGCTAACCTCATGGTGGGGTGTTCAAACCCAGCCTTGGCCACCCTATGGAATAGTCCTATTCTGCTGTGTAGGGTCACTGAGTTGGAATAGACTCTACAGCAGTGTGGTAAATATATGACTTAAACACAGCAGCATAAGAGACAAAGTAAATATAGCAGCATGAGAGACAGAGAAGGATTTTGTATCAAGACTAAGGGGTCAACATAACCATAATAAGTATCTGTGCCCAAGATGAAAGAACCTCAAAACACACAAATCAAACTTTAATAGAAATGAAGAAAGAAATAGACAATGCTACAATAATTGTGGGAGATTTTAACACACCATTTTCAATGAAGAACAGAACAATCGGAAAAAAATCAACAAAGACACAGAAGAACTCAACAACACAATCAATCAACCTGACCTCATAGACTTATACAGAGCACGCAACCCAACAACAGCACAGTACACATTCTTCTCCAGAGCACACGGAAGGGTCTCCAAAATAGACCATATGTTAGGCTCAATAAAGTTAAAAACACCAAAATATTACAAAACATCTCAGACCACAGCACAATAAAATTAGTAATCAACAACAGGAAGATCAAAGAAAAGAATCAAATATATGGAAATTAAATAACACCATGCTTAAAAGCTACTGTGTAATAGAACAAATAAAAAAATGAAATAAAATTAATTCTTTGAGGAGAATAAACAAGATGGCAGATTGGGTGGAAGTGCAGTGAGGAGCTCTGTCAGCAACAACACAGAATACCAGACCAAGAAGGCTCAGGGGATGGTCCCAGAACTCTGAACCACATATAAAGGAATCTTTAGAAGGTTGGAAGGCTTACAGTTAGGGGAATTTGTAGCAGAAGCAAGAAATCCATTGCTTTCTAATTCAACATGTTCAGCTGCTCCTGGAGCCGCCATCTTGGGCGAGACCAAGCAG